TGTGGCCCTCAGGAGGTGTGAATTTGGCTCGCTCAGCTTCGGCGGGCCCATTTCAGGTCCTCCTCGGCTCTGAGGCTGGGTTTCCCATCAGCCTCCGGGAGAGAGGCACCCAAACCCAGCCTGCCACCCCCGGGCCCGCAGAGGGAGCCCCATGCAGAAGCCGATTCCCCATTGCAGGGTTAGAATTCGTTGAACCAGAGCGGAGGGGCCATGCGATCTAAACCCCTCTGTGTCATTAGCTAGGGGAAGGCATTGGTGTGAAAGAGACGCCCCGGCAGAAGTACCAGCGGCTGCTCCATGAGGTTCATGAGCTGAGCACAGAGGTGGAGAAGATACAGGTAGGAGCCACCTTGGGCGTCGTGCGTCGCCCCCATCGGGTGAGGCGTCCAGGCCGTGTCCCTCCGGTCTGATGGGAGGCAGTGGTGTCTGGTGGGCAGAGCACTGGACTCTGGTTCTGTGCCCAGCTCTGCCCCTGACCTTGGCCAAGTCACTCCACCCCCTCCGTGCCTCAGTTTCCCCATGTCAAACAGGGAGCCCTTTGAGATCTATGTCTAGATCCGATTGCTCCCCGCCCGTGCCGCTGGCTGGGAGCAGAATTGTCCGAGCCTTTAGGTGGGAGGCGGGGGGTCCCCGTGACCGCAGAGCCCCACGCCCCAGCTGTAACGCGGCAGCGTCTCCCTCTGCAGAGCACCGCGAAGGATTCGGCGGCAGAGGAGAAGCTGAGCCCCGTGGCGCTCGCCAAGCAGGTCGTGGCCCTGAAGCAGCAGCTGGTCTCCACGCACCTGGAGAAGCTCCTGGGGCCGGACGCAGCCATCAACCTGACTGACCCCGACGGAGCCCTCGCCAAGTGAGCTCGGGTCGGCTGCTTCCCCGTCCCAAGTGTCCCTCAGCGAGGGAGCGTTTGGAGCTGGGACGTTCCCATCCTGGGCCTCAACCTCCTTTGTGGCGACTTCTCCCCATAAACCGGGACCAAATCCCTGGCCTGCCCTGCTCTGGCAAGTGCCCGAGGCCGTATTGTGCCGGCAGCGTGGGGGTGCCCGCGGTGGCGGGCGACAGAATTCAGCCCCAGCACCTCCTGCTGGAAAGGGGCCAGCGAGACCTGCTGATCCCTGGGCAGGTGTGCGGGGCTGGGGCTGAGAGGGAGCGTCCTCTCCTGAGCTCGGCGCCGCTGATCGGAAATCAGAGACCGGCTGGCCCCCCACCCCCGGGGTGCTGCAGTCAGCTGCCCCTCGGCTCCCGGGGTGCGTTTATTCCTGGGCGGGAGCTGCCTGCGTCTGGTCGATGACGGCTTAGCTGTTCACCACGGTGGGGATGGGGAAGGATTAAAACCGAGGCCGATGGATGAGAGATTGAATCCACCGGGCTGTAGCTGCCTTGGCGAGCCCCAGGGGTGGTCGCGGCGAGGGGCGTTAACGGGCATCACTGCAGCCTGGCCCGTTCCTCACTGGGCCCACGAGGCTGGCGTCTCCCGGTCCCCATTAACCCCGCCGGAGCAGCAGGGCCCTGTTACCTCCCAGCTGGTGACCGCCACTCGCAGGCCCTGGAAACCAGCGGGGTCTCTTCTGTTTACCAGGCGCCTGCTCATTCAGCTGGAAGCGGCTAAGAGCGCCAGGGGCACCCCCGGGGCAGGGAAGAGCCCGTCGAAGGCCCCTGCGCCCGCAGGGAATATGGTGACCTATGAGCTGCACTCGAGACCTGAACAAGACAAATTCTCTCAGGCTGCAAAGGTGAGGCTGGGGCGGGTCTGGGTTCGGAGTTGTCTGCCAGGCAGCAGTGGCCATGCGACAGCAGAGCTGCGGGCAGGACTGGGCACCGGGAACTCCTGGGATCTACCCCGGCTCTGGCCTGGACGATTTAGCTCTTACGTCACTTAGCTGGCGTGCCTCGGTTTCCCCATCTAATGCTTATTTACTTGCCCTCTGGGGGAGGGGGGTGTTAATACTTGAAAATACCAGCCAAGTTGTTTGAAAACCTGCTCCTGAGCCCATAGTAACATCACCGGGAAGATCTGTGGGGCAGGGCCCCTCTGTTCTGTGTCAGGGTATGGGGGGGCCATGCGCAGATGGTTATTTCTTGCCTGGCCTTTGAGGCTGGAAACCAGCTGGCTCCCTTGCCCAGATTCCCGTGGGGGCCTGTGGGGTCAGACTCTGCCGTCCCCCTGCGCTGGGAGGGCTTTGGCGGGCCAGGGAATTCAGAGGCTGCGACGAAGGGTCTGGGAGCAGCAGGGAGAAGGAAGCGGGGGATGGCTTCTCGCTCTGGGGTGCCACAGCTCAGCACAGGAGCGAGCTGCCGCCAGCGACTGTCCTGGTGGCTGGATCGCACCCGCCGGCGGAGCCTTGGGCAGCAGCTGGGCCCGGGCAGCCCCGGCGTCTCTTGCTGCTCGGCCTGCGCGGAGCTCTGAGCGGCCACCTGGGCTTTCTGGGCAGCGAGGGAGCCCTGCAGCGAGGCGCCGTTCCAGCACCACGTGCCCAGCCTTGCGGGTCGGGGAAGCAGGGCATGCTGGGGGCATCGCTGACCTCTCCTCTCGCCCGTTGCTCTAGATAGCGGAGCTGGAGAAGCGGCTGAGCGAGCTGGAAGCCACGGTGTGCAGCGAGCAGGACAGCCAGGTGAGCGCCCTGCAGGGGGATCAGGCTGGGGCGGCCGTCCAGCCCCCCCGTGCTTGGCGTGGGCATAGTGCCCGGGGCCGGGCTGCTCTGAAATCCAGGCTCCCGGCTCCACACGCTTGCATTCTCTCTTTCTCCTAGAATCCCCTGGCGGTTGGGCTGCAGGGAGCCAGCCTCATGGTAAGCCCGAGTGCTGGGGCCCGGCTGGGGAAGGGGGTTTGTTACGGCCTCGCTGGTGTCCTGTGGAGCACCGAGACCCGGGGGGCTGTGGGCCGAGGTCCCTTCCCGTGCCGGAGGCAGCGTTTCTGAGATTGGTCTGGGGGGATGCAGCCTCCCAGGGTGACATCTGGCTTCCCCCGGTCTCAGGTGGGGCGCCCGAGCCCTGCCCCATGAGGACGCTCAGCGCAGCCCTGGCCGGGTCGGGTTCTGCTGGGCACGGTGCAGGCGGTGAACTCCCGCTGGCCGCTGCCCGGGGTCGGCATTCGCGTGTTTCAGCCCGTTCCTCCCGCCCGCAGGAAACCGTGGAGATCCTGCAGGCCAAAGTCAGCACCTTGGACGTGGCTGTGCTGGACCAGGTGGAGGCGAGGCTGCAGGTGAGCAGCTGAGGGGGGAGGACAAGCTGGCAGGCCCCCACCTCGAGCCTGCTTCTGTCGCACCTGGGCAGCTCTGGCTCCGGGCCAGCCACCTGCCCTGGGCTCCCAGCGGGGCCCTGGGGTGCAGTGACACCGGAAGGAGCCCGGCGCCGCCAGCCCGGCTGTGCTGGGTGTCTGCACAGGGCGCACTTGACAAATGCTTCCCCTCCGCTGCCCTGGTTCTGGGGGTCCAGGAGCACGGGGCAGCCCCTTGCCCCAGGGTCGTCTGATCACGGCCCCAGCAGGAGGCAGCGCGTGGCGTGGGTGGGTGCATGGCACAGAGGTGCCGAGGGACCTACCTTGCCCCTGCTGAATTGGTACCATCCTGGCTTCTGGCCCAGCCGCTGCGGGGGGCTGTGCTGCCAGCTAGTGGGCGGGAGGGGGACTGGTGGGGCGGGGGGCACCTGCTCCCCTAGGATCCTCACGTCTCCTTTTCTTCCCCAGAGTGTCCTGGGGAAGGTGAATGAAATCGCCAAGCACAAGGTGGCCGTGGAGGACGCAGACACCCAGAGCAAGGTCAGGTCCCAGCCTCCCTGCGCTGCGGCCCCGCCAATGCCCTGGCAGCCAGCGGCGCCCTGCTGCGATCATCTGCACCCACACCCCTCCTGGGGCCCCCCAGGCCCTGAACCCATCTCGGGCCTGGCAGGGCTGGCATCACCAGCAGAGTGAGACTAGGGTGGCACAGGCTGCTGGGGGCTGGTGAAGGGGGGAGGGGACGGTACACGACACCTGGTACGTTGGGCTGCATGTGAGCTGGGGGGAGGGTCAGCATGGGCCTTGGAGCCACCCCCTCCTCTGCCTGGCACTAATCCCCCCCATCTCCCCTCTGGTGCCACCAGGTGCATCAGCTCTATGAGGTCGTGCAGCGCTGGAGCCCCATGGCCACCACCCTGCCCGCGCTGGTGCAGAGACTGGGCACCGTCAAGCAGCTGCATGAGCAAGGTGAGGGGCAGGGGCAGCTGCAGGGGGGAAACGGGCTCTGTGCCCATCTGCCCCAGGACGGCTCTGAGCTTCTGCCTATTGGCTCTTGTCCCTTCCAGCCATGCAGTTCGGGCAGCTCCTGACCCACCTGGACACCACCCAGCAGATGATCGCCAACTCCCTGAAGGACAACGCCACGCTGCTGACACAGGTGGGCATCCCAGCAACACCCCCTTCCCCCCGGCCTGGGAGTGAGTGAACCCAGCGGCTCCCACCCCACCCCCTGTCCCAGTGCTACCCGCTCTCTGTCCCGCAGGTCCAGAAGACCATGAAGGAGAACCTGGTGGCCGTGGAGGAGAACTTCGCCAGCATGGACGTGCGGGTGAAGCAGCTCTCCCAGTGAGCCCTGTGGCCCCATACCCGCTGCTGGGGGGGGCTCGCCAGTCCCTCTGCCACCCTGCTCCCCTCCCCCAGCCCCTGCCCTTCTGTGGGGGGAGGGGGCTCTGCTACTGATGACCCGGGGTGAGGGGCAGAGCCCAAGGGAGGAAGGGGGGGTGGGGCTCGCGTTCATCAACCTGTACAATTATTTACTATTAAACACTGTCTGCTTGCACACCTGGCCCTGCCCCTTCCTGCTTGGGGGGGGGCTCAGCGCCCGGCCCTGCCCCTTCCTGCTTCACGGGGGCCTGGCGCCCGGCACTCGCCACACACGGCAGCTTTTAAATACACATTTTAATAATTGATACAAAACACCCCAAAATCCCCGCGGAAGAGCCAGCGGCGCTCGGCCCCCAGCTGTTAAATTAAGTGGCTCCCCTGGAAAAGCTCCAATTCCCCAGGGGCCGGTTCCAGCGTCTACAAAAGCAAGGCCCCGTCGGTGAGGGGGGGCAGGGCCCAGCCCCCGCTTTGCATAATTCCCACCAGCAGCCTGGGAGCGCGTAGTGTGGGTGGGGGGGCGGCGCGGCCGGGCCCCGCCAGCCGCCGGACCTGAGTGTTCTCGGAGGAGTTAAAAACAAGGGAAAAGGGGGCTGGGGCCGGGTCCCTCCCAGTGCCCCATGGCTGAGCCGGCGTCACAGGCCAGGCGCCCCCCAGGCTCTGCCCATGCCGCGCTTATTGCTTTGTACCATTGCCCGGGGGGCTGCCCCCTGGCGAGGGGCACAGGGAGGTTTTTGGTGAGCGGGACATGCGGAAAGCTAACCCCTGAGGCGTTCCTGGCCCTGCTGAGACCCGCAGGCCTGAGGTAGGGGAGGAGCCCTCCCCCCACAGCCTTGATACTGGGGGGGGGGGCAGAACGGCAGCGGCTGGGAGCCCCGGCCCCAGTCTGGGAGCAGCCCCGGCCTGCAGGGGGCGCTGCCCCAGCTCCCTGGGATTTCACTGCATTGCAGAATGGCTTCAGAAGTGCTTTGGCAGCCGCGGCCCGGCACTGCCTCCTGCTGGGCGGAGCGGTAAGTGCCCATTGCCAGCAACGGCACCTGCGCCGGGCCCCGCACTGTCCACAGGGTGCCCCCGGCCGGGCCTCAGCTCGGCTTCACCTCCCCTGGGTACCTCTGGGCCGACGCTACGTCACCATCTTCCTGCGGCGGTTCTTGGCGGGGCGGCCAGGCCGGGGGCGCCGCCCAGGGGCACCGTCCTCCTGCGGGGATGAGAAGGGAGGGTGCTGCTGGATCGATTCCCTGAGCTGGGGCAAACGTCTCCCCCCCCAGGGAGGAGTCAGGACCCCGGGGCTTGTTCTGGACTCAGCCCCTTGCCAGCGGCTGTTGAATGAGATAGACGAAGGGGCCCAGACGCCCCGGGGGGGGGCACCGATTGCTGCCCTGCTCCACCCCCCCGCCGCCCAGCGGTGGCACTTACGGTGGGGACGGAGCCTGGCTCGGCGGTTGGGCCCCTCGCTCGTGGAGTCTCCAGGCGGGTGCTAGGCCGGGGAGCGCTGCAAAGACAGAGCACGTCAGGGGGAGGGAATGGGGCAGATGGCACCTGCCGGGGGGGCAGGGCCACGGGATCCCAGGTCGCCCCCTACTCACCTGACCTTCCTCCTCCGGCCCCGGCGTGACGGGCGCAGCCTCCCGGGGTTCCCCTGCAAAGACAAAGGACATGACTGGGTCGGGCACTGCGCTGGCTCCCCCCCTCACCCCCCAGCCAGTCGGGCTGGCACCTCCCGCCTCCCTGGAGCCTGTGCCCAGGGCTCTCACAGGAGGGCTGAGCCTGCCTCAGCCTCCCCAGGCGTGGGGAGGGGCGAGATCTGGCTCCAGCCCCTGCCTGAGATTCAAGACCTCTAGGCCCTGGCCCCTGCCCTGCCAGAGGGGCCCCCTGGTCTGTACCTTTATCTCCTCTGCTTTGCTGGGGGCCAGCGGGCCGGCCGCGCCTGGCACCAGGATCTCACCGTTGCACCTCCAGGCCGGGTGGGGCGGGTGCCCCGAGGGTGCTGCCTTCTCGCCTGGCTCACCTGCCTGCCCGTTGAAGTGCCGCCGGCTCCCCCAGGCCCCGCGGCCCCGCCTGGCCCCACGGCGAGGGCTCTTGGTTCTGCGGGGGGCCGCCCGGGGAGGGACATTGCCGTTCAGCCCCTCCCCGCTGCGCCGGGCCCGTTTCAGGGGGGTCCTGGAGCAGGGGGGTCCTGCGGCGCTTGTGTCCAGCTGGCCCACGGGGGTGGCAAAGGCCAGCGCTCCCTGCTGGCCCGGCCCGGCCGGCTTCAGGGTGTCCGTGGCCGGGCAGTCCGTGGCCCTGGGCACTGCAGGGGAGTCTAAGGCACTTGGCAGGGCAGCGGGGGCAGCGTCCGTGCAGAAGGGGGCGAAGGGGGCCGGTGGCTCGGACTCCGGGACGCTGGGCTGGTTCGGGGAGGGACCGTCACTCGGTGCAGGCGCTGGCTTCTCGGGGGCGCCGAACCCAGGGCTGAGCTGCCAGGGGAGGAGAGGGAAGAGCCGTGAGGGGGGCAGGCCTGGCACTCCCCCCTCCTGGAGCCCTGGCCCTG